CTCGCTCCGCGCCGCAGCGCCGCCGGGAAGCTGGCCCCCGAGGCCGCCCCGCAGCGCAACGGGCTGCTGCTGCCCGGCAAGGAGGCGGCGGCGGCGGGCGCGCGGGCCGAGCCGCGGCTGTCGCGGCGGCGCCTGGCCGTGCTCGCCGTGTTCAGCGGCTACTCGCTGGTGAACGCCTTCCAGTGGATCCAGTACAGCATCCTGAGCAGCGCCTTCGCGCGCTTCTACGGCGCCTCCTTCGCCGACATCGACTGGCTCTCCATGGTCTACATGGTGGCCTACGTGCCGCTCATCCTGCCCGCCACGTGGCTGCTGGACGCGCGCGGGCTGCGCCTCACGGCGCTGCTGGGCGCCGGCCTCAACGCGCTGGGCGCGTGGCTCAAGTGCGCCAGCGTGGCGCCGGGCCGCTACGCGCTCACCATGGCGGCGCAGGCCGTGTGCGCCCTCGCGCAGGTCTTCATCCTGGGGCTGCCCTCGCGCGTCGCCGCCGTCTGGTTCGGGCCCGCCGAGGTGTCCACGGCCTGCGCCGTGGCCGTGCTCGGCAACCAGGTACCGCGGGAGCGGGCGGGACGGGGGGAGCGCGGCCCTGGTGCCCCTTAGTCCTCGCTTACTCATGGCGAGCCCGCCTAGCCCGAGGGAGGTGCAGGACGGGCTCGGATGCACGGGGCCACAGGCAGCGGCTCCCCTCGCCTGCAGCACCCGCTGAGCGGCTTGTGCCGCCCGCCCACACCTTCCTTTCCTTCATTTCTTTTCTTTTTTTTTTTTTTTTTTTTCTTTTCCCGTTTTAAACACGGCCATAAAGCATCGAGCGGCAGCAGAGCCAGGTCCAGAGCTGACTCAGGACCTTCTCTGTACTGGTTTGATAAGTCGCACGGGGAGCTGATAAGCAGCCCGGGCACGGATTTCTTCACAGCCCCCAGGCCTGCCAGGCCCCTGTCAGCCTGGCAGATAAGATGATAGGTCTCTTCAGAATTATTATTATTATTATTATTACTATTATTGTATATACTATTTGTTCCCCGCCCTCCTCACGTCCTTGGCCCCGCTTTCCTGGGACAGAGGAGCAGTCAGGTCCCCGTGGGGCCGGCTGGTGCAGGCTGCAGCCATAGGTGCCCCTGGGTTAAGTTTGCAGGGGTCTGGCCTCCCTTGGCTCCCACTAGTTACGTTTCTCCTTGGATTGCTAAGGGTGAAATAGTACATATTGGTGGTTAGGGTTGCTTGTTACTTTGTTATTGTCTGTTGATTGTTTTTCAGCTTGTTTGTTTAAAAAAAAATGGATGAGGTCTTCAGTGGACAAACCAACTGCCCATTTTAGACTATTATTATTATTTAGCTTCTCAGCAGAGATGTAGCCCCTGCTTCTCGGAGCCAGGCTGAGGATGCCTTGGTGGCTGAACTGCCTGCCCTCCTCTGCCTCCCCACGCCAGGCAGCAGCTGATGCTCTGCTCCAGGGATGAGGTGGCGAAGGGAAAGAGGAAGAGCTCAGGAGTGGAGAGGATGGAAGGCAAGGAAAGGAGGGACAGGAGAGCCAGGAGCAGAGGTGCGAACGCAGTAACTCAGGTGCTTGCTGGAGCTCACCCCCCTGCAGCRGCTAGGGCTGAGCTTGGGGCATCTAAGCAGTCTGTGGCTGTCTGCTTCCTGGGAAATACCTGGGAAATGCACAGGGAAAGTGGCTTTCACCTTCCTGTGCACAGACCATAATGTCATGTTCTGCGGCCGTCCAGCACTCCACCAACTCCAGTGGTAGAGCTTGAGCTATAGGTCTTAAGATCCTCATCTTGCTTATAACCCATAGAGATTTATACAGTGCCAAGCAGTAGAAAATTTCTGATATTTGGTTTGCTTTCTTAAATCAATAACTCTCTCCAAAACCTAGATTGAAGGAATAGGATGACAAAGTAGGCGCTTGAAAGTTTAAAAGCCTGCCACAATTAATACTGTCTGTCTAACAATGCAGCTACCTTCTGCATGTGCAAGCTCAATTACGTGTCTCGTTGTGCCCCTCTAATCGCACGGGGTGAGCTGTAAAGCAGAGCTGGATCATTACAGCACATAGGGCTGTTGGTTATATGCTGTACAGTTATGCTGCATACTGCACCTGGTCGTCATACTGTATACTGCACCTGGTATTTTACAGACAAATCGCCCATTATTTCCTGAAGTCCTCATAATTCACAGCTGAAGTGCAAGTAACGGGCGATGCACCTCTGTACATGTCAAGGACTGTCATGAGTGGCTGATTTTAAAAAATATTTAGCATTTCAAATAGGCACATCAGACTTAGTGGAGTTCTTCCTCCTTCTGACCATAGCTGCTGTGATTCAGCTTTTTATATGCAAAGAGAGAAAAATGGTGTTACTTGGCTTTCCCTGAAATGTTGTGGGTTCTGCACTGAGTCACGCTGAGCAAARTATTCCCGAAGAAAAGGGCTAATTGTGTGCCTGCTGTGTGGTAATTGTAAGGGTCACATACTGAAGGGTGAGGATRAAAGGAAACAGAGTCTTCAAGGTGAACACTGGGAACTGGGTCCATCAGATGGCCAGTGTGGGAAAAACCAAAAATCTGATAAAGCCCAGAGGCTGCTTTGCAAGCTTACTGGCACACCTCTAGTTTAAACACTTCGAATGTTGAGTTTGCTGTGTTCAATAGTTTTTAATTCCCTCCCTCTCACCAGCGTCTTGCCCAGGAAAACATACCTCATATAGACAAATGTTTCCAAATCTAAAAAGCTGTTTTGACATYTAAAACTAAATCTTACTTTCAAAGGAGAAGCAGAGATAAATTGGAGGAAAACTTAGGACTGTTGTTCCTTGATGTTTTCAGRTGCTTTGTACATATATATGCCTATACATAGGCAAAACTTCAGTCCTTGTTTTTTGTCTTTTTTAGTGCTAAATTTCTTGCTACACTGCAATACAAACCCACTGCTTTGGGTGGATTTCTTTGGCTGTGTATGTATATGTTCTTTTATTTTATCTTTTTGAGGAAACATTTTTTCCCTCCTGCGTTTCTTTGCCCGRTAAGTTCTGCAATTTACCTTGCATGTTGGTCCTGCAGTAATGGCAGGATTGTGATGTCAAAAACAGCATTTTGATGAAGTTTTTACAGGAGTAACTAGAGTCTTCTGCCTCAAGTTTTGGTCCTTCACATGCAGGATGACTGATGCAAGTTAATGGGTGTGCATAATATTCTCTTGTGAAAATAACCTTTGCAAAAAGGCCTTCCTTWCTGCTTAGTTGAATGTGCTGTTCGCTAACGATATCATTGGAGCTTAATCTAGAAAAGAAAAGATAAACAGGGCTATTGAAAACCCGATTGTGAAATATCAGCATGAGCAAACGACTCATAACTGGTATGCTGAAGGAGCACGTTGTCTTCATAATTTTTGTTAATAGTGGTTGCGGGGTAAATCCTGAATTCTGCCTGGCAAGGCTCTTGACTTTTATTGATTTATATTCTTAGGAAAATAATGTCRGTTTTCTTTCTTGCTTTACAGCTTGGCACCGCAATTGGCTTTTTGTTGCCACCTGTCTTGGTTCCAAATACACCTAATGATCTCGATCTAATGGCACATAATATAAGCATCATGTTCTATGGAACAGCAATAGTATCCACGCTCCTGTTCCTCTTAACAGGAGTTGGTAAGTGATCCGTTCTCATAATACCACGTGTACAGGGACCACAGGGAGTGCTTAGACCCTCTTGCATTAGGCAGGGAGAATTAACTTGAGTTACTTGTTGGGTATCTTCAGGCTGCCTGTAGAGCACTGAGGGGGTGTGGAGCTTTAGTGGTGAACCTGCGAGCCAGGGGTAGTGGGTGATTTCAGCTGCTGCCTATGTGGGAAGTCCAGTTGTGACTTTGAATATGCTCAAGAAAACTTTCAAATACTTAGGAAATTCCAAGTCATTAATGTCAAGAACTCTGTCACAGTTTTACTCCAAAAACATGCTCAATTATGTAAGGTAAACTAATTTCAGTAGCTAAGTTAAAGAAATAAATCACCCTAATTTTGCTCTTTGGAAAGAAAATTAAATATTAAAAACAAGGACTAGGTGATGTGATTAATGCAGTTGGGTCTGGCTTATCTTCTGAGGAAATTCTGGGGGAAATTCTTTTCATGAATACATCAGCATAGAGCTTTCACGTCTAAGAAGGATGCAAAGGGGTTTTGCTGGGGTGGGGATCGTAACCTTCATCTTAAAAATACAAGAGCATAGTAGCTCTTGTATTTTCCTTTGGTAGCTAATACATTTTTCTCTTTAACTGAGGCTGCCTTTCCTGTGGTTTACTTGTGTTCTCTTCTTGTGAGAGGGATAAGGGACAGGCAGTTTCTCATCTGTGTCATGTTTCGTGTGGAAGAGCTGCTGTCAGGTTCACTTAGTTTCTTGCTACCCGCAGCAGGACGTTATGTTGGAGTGCAGATTTGTTCTGCTGTTCTCTAATGCAGGTAGAGAGGTAGAACAAAGCCCAAACGCTTTGCTGGTGAAGTGGTGTCTCTGAGTGTGTGTTGGGTGGCAGTCAGGAACAAATACTTGGCACATCCCTAGCGGCTTGTAGCTTGACTCTCACCTGAGAAAATCGAGGATATTTTATAAACATGTTAAGGAAAGACCACAAATGCATCCTTAGAAATCACTCAAACTAAAACACTTTGCATTTCATATTAGTGTGGTAAAGGCAGACCAAAATCTCTCTGTTTTGTTTTCCCCTAGTGTTTGAAGAAAAGCCCAAATACCCTCCTAGTCATTCCCAGGCAGTCCTTCGAACCCTGCCTCCTGAGGAGTACTCCTACAAGCAGTCGATTATTAACTTATTCAGAAATATTCCATTTGTCCTTTTGCTGATTAGTTATGGTAAGTTGTCTGGCAACATGCTCCTAATAGGTACCCAAAGCTTTATTTATTTGTTTATTTAGTGTGACTGTTGGTGTCTGTGGCTGTGAACGACATGCCTGTCTCCCTCRGATTTGGGAAGGGAGAAAGGGAGAAGGTACAGTGAAACTAAATGTGTATCTGAAGACATTTTATGTCAAGAAAATCTAGGCGGGGTRGAAAAGAGAATGGCCTTGGTACCCTCTACTTTGAGAGGAAAAAATAAAAATTCATGAGTTTTTTTTTTTTCCCCCTTGCCTTACTGGTAAAAAATAATTGAAATAAGTGATTTACATCAAGTTCTCAATTTCAGAAGTAGTGAACGTGATAGCTTTAGGGATACAATCTAATTCGTCTTAGCAGCCAGTAATGCTTTGGACAGTGGCCCTTGACAGATCATAGGGATGAGACTTATCAGAAAACTCTAAGACTATCCAGGCAAGCGGTGTGTTTTTGCAGAATTATCTAGTAGAAGATATTTATAATGCAAATATAAAGTCTGCCTGACACATATTGAACGATAAGGGGTGAATCATCCTCTTTTGGTTTTGTAGGTATTATGACTGGGGCATTTTATTCTGTCTCGACTTTATTAAATCAGATGATAGTAACACATTATGAGGTAAGTTTCTCAAGTCTTTTTACTACTCTTTGTTTTAATTTGTGTGTGTGTGTGTGTGTTTGTGTTTGTTTCTAACTGTACATTTGCAGTTTTCCTATTGCTTAGGCACTGTGTGTGCTCAGACATCTGGTTTCCTTTGTACCCCTCTGTGGTTTCTTGCCTCTCRTGCCATTCAGCTATGGAGTCACAGGAATGTTTGTTTGTGCTTGTGACCGCCGGGAGGTCTGAACTTGACTCTGAGTGGAAGCAAGTTATTAATGAGCCCCGTATAAATATTTGTTGAAAGGGAGAAGAAGTGAACGCTGGGAGAATTGGCTTGACACTGGTGGTGGCAGGAATGGTGGGTTCGATTATTTGTGGTTTGTGGCTGGATTACACTAAAACATACAAGTAAGTGTGGGTAGGCATGTGTGGGGTTAAGGGTAGGAAAGCRTTGCAACCGTGTTAGGAAAGTACTGGAATGCAAGGGAAGCAGCAAGTGCCCGATCTATCAGTAGCCTTCACATGGGCTACAACCAGAACTTGAGACTTTCAAGTTGGTTTTTGACCAAGAGAGAGGGGGAAAGCTGTGGAGAATATGAAGAGCTGAAGGGRTTTCCATGTTATCCTTACCCTTGCCCTGCAGGGAGTGTAATGCTAATAAAAAAAAAAGCCCTGTATGTCCTGCATAAGGTGGCCAGCTGTCCTGGTTGTTCCTCTTCCTCCTCCAGGGACCACACGAAAGCTGAAAGCAGAGTGTGTTTTTTTGTTTTGCTCTGTTTGGTTGTGTTTGTTTTTTTTGTTGTTGTTGTTTTTGGATTTTTTTTTGATCTCTCTCATTTTTAGTTTTATTTTTTTAACGCTCTTTCTTGGCCTTTTAATAAGGCCGACACTTGCGTTAATTGAGGGGATGGCTGTCTGGAGCAGMACCCTGTTTTGGGGCTAGGAGCTCGGGGTGGTTCCGCGTGGTGGTGTGGGCCCAAGTGCTGCTTGCCGAAACACGAGGATGGTTCTGGGAAGAGCTCTCCCCTGGTGACTCTGCTGAGCAAGGGCTCCGGGAGCCTAATGGATGTTAATGCTCTAGATTGGCCTTATTTCTACATGTGGCCTAGCCTATAAATGAATTATATGTTCTCATTTTTGGGGTAACAGCCATTATTCCAGATTTGATGTAAATAAAACATCCAAATGGGCTTTGTGTGACTTGCCTCAGACGTTGACTTTTAGCACTAATAACGTTTGATTTGACTGCTCATCTTGCAATTTTTGTGTAATGGCCTGTGCTGCAGGATGTCCGAGAGCCACAGCTTAGTGGCGAACTAAGACAGTCTCGAGGTGATAGTGCCTGATGCAATTATTCTGTAAGAGTCTGAGAATTTCTCTTAGTCTTGAGTGAAGCAGCCATAGAACTAAAAGAAGAAGGAGCTGGGGACGGGATGCCCTCTCATAGAAATGCACGATGTGTTTGAGTCAGTTACATGAAGCAAATTTCCCAACTGTAGAATGTCATTTCTGAGGTAATGTTTGTATGACTTTGTCATACATCAGCAACGTGCCATGATTTTACCTTAACTATGTGTATGCATTTCTTGTTGGCTTGCAGGCAAACCACTTTAATTGTTTACGTTCTCTCTTTCATTGGAATGGTGGTGTTTACTTTCACGCTGGATCTGGGATACCTGATAGTGGTRTTTGTGACTGGAGGAGTGCTTGGGTAAGCAGCTAAAGAGAACGGCAGTTCYGCTCTCGTTAAATATCTGTAATAATGTGAAAAGCTAATGGCTATGGTAACTGAATGATGCTGCTGTATACTCTGCCACACTCTCAACATATATCTTACAGAACAGTTGTTTAATATAATTCACCTTCTGTTACATCAATGTAAATTTGAAGCAAATTACTTCTAACATCAATCTAAAGTGAATTGCATTTATATTTTATTACCACTCCCAACAGAAGCCTATATGTGGCCAGTTTGTTTCATTCCAATTCACAAAGTCCACTGGAATAAAGCTAAACCTTCTTCTTGTCATCAGTGGCCATTTGACTGGAGTCTAACGGAGCAAATTTAGGAAGACTGCCTTCTGTCCATGTTACWAATTTATATTTTGATAGCCCAAGCGGCCCGTTTGGTGCTTTGTGAATTCAGAAGAACATGTATCACAGTCCTGAGAGAGGTACAAGTTAGAAACCCCCAGAGATGCTGAGTCTCTGTCTTCACAGAAATGCTCTGATCTCGCAGGCTGGGCAGGGGAGCAGCAGAAGCTCCTCTTGGGAGGTTCAGTTCAGAAACAACCACCCTAACTGCGTGAAGCCCCCATCCTTCCTCACACCCATGTGTCCCTTTAGCCCCTTGCGGGGGAGCTGCCGTCACAGTGTCCAGCCACCCCGCTACCTGTGGTCTCCCTCTTACATAACATGAATCTTTAGATTGGTCTTTGCATGTGTCTTATATTTGGAAGTAGTTAGTTTTTAATCATGCAGTGATTTGTGCACTTGAGAAGGTTGTTTCATGTGTGTGGAGTGCAGGTGGTTAAGGGAGGCAGGGCAAATATATTAAAATTTCTTTGTCCTCCAAGAAAGAGGTATGGCAGAAATAGTTTGGAGATGAGATAGGGCAAAACAAACACATCCTAAATTTGGGTCTCAATTCAAKACCTGAATCTTGAATTTGCTTTTAAAAGCAGACAGCTAGTCCAGAATAACAGCTAGTTCCGACTACCATATATTTAGGTCTTGATTTTCTTTGCCGTGATAATAMTCAAAAGCCACRCTTGTCATCCTCTTATTTTCCTCTTCACCAGGTTTTTCATGACTGGCTATCTCCCCCTCGGCTTTGAATTTGCTGTGGAAATTACGTACCCTGAGTCTGAAGGCACCTCGTCAGGGCTCCTCAACGCGTCAGCACAGGTTGTAGCATTTCCTCCAATGAAGTAATACTCTGCAAGGCCACTCTGCTAGAATCTGAGAAATCTTTCTAAATTTGGCTGCTGTGTCCTCACTATATTGCTCTAGTCTTAATTTCTTATTTGGTTTCTGTAAGATGTGGTCTGACACTTTGCAAGCAAAAAAAAATGGTGAATCCTTTCTCTGCGATACGGATTAAGTGACTTATTTGTTTGCAGATATTTGGAATTATCTTTACCCTTGTTCAAGGAAAGCTCACAACAAACTACAGTCCCCGTGCAGGAAACCTCTTCCTCTGTGCTTGGATGTTTGTGGGCATTATCTTAACAGGTAACTAGAAATACAAGCAGTGACTTATCTAATCATTTGGGGGGTTTTAGCTMGTGAATTTATGTGATCTCAGGTGTTGAGGGTTTAGTTGCTTGGCTTTCCTGTTTGGACTGAGGACAAAAGTTAGTCGTAAGAGGATGATGTTTTAAAATGATTTATTTATTTTTGTGTGTGTGTTATTTAAGTATGTGCTGTGCATATACTTTGTGCTCAAGGATAATGTTGCTACTATGTGAACCACCTGTTTGGATGCATTTTTTGAATGGTATCTTGAACTTGAGGCAGAACTCCTTCTTTGTAAGTAGGCTAGTAAATGTAAACAAGTGCAGATGTACAGGCAGTTTGCAGTTTCTCAAATATGAGGAATTGCTGATGTTGCTGTAAGCTGTGCCAGGAATTTACACACACCAGTACTTTTTAAGTGTGCTGAAAGTGTCAAAACCATCAARCTTTGCCGCAGGGGTTAGCGGTTTAAAAGTTCTTATTGTCCCTTTTGGCACTTGCTATGTGAGGAGCAAGTTCAGATTGTTGGTAAGAAATCAAGCAGTGCTGATTGTGTAAGAACGAGTACAGAAATTGTGAGTATGTGCTGAAAGTAGCTCCTTGTGTGTGTGTTGTACAAAATATCCGTCTTGGAAGGAATGTCATTACCGAGGCAGGATGATGATCTCTGTTTACTTGATTGTTTCAGCCTTAATAAAATCAGATTTGCGAAGACACAATGTGAATTCAGGGATTACGAATGTGGACGTTAAAGCTGTAAGTGCTGAATCTTTTCCCTTGATTGTATTATTGTCCTTGAATGCTTGCCTTCCGTGGGCATGATAATATTAACAGGAAAGGAGTAACTGACATGAACCTGTCATGCGACTTCTTCCTTGTTCTACTAGAACAAGTTACTGGGTTCCTAACCTCAGATATAGCTCTTTCTCCCCTTAGTTCCCATGAAAAAATCTAATATACCTTTGATTCTATTTATTTTCTGAAGTTTAAGTGCCTAATAYTGATCTCTGGTTTTATGTTTTTGAATCCAGATCTTTCATGCCTGCAGTTAGCGTTGTGAGTTGCGAAGCATTTTTGTGTGTTGGGTTAGGAGGTCATGGTGCATGCTGCACATAGAAAGAAGATAGAAAGAGGTGTTAGTGTTGGAAAGAAGTGGCATCCCTTTAAGTCGAGTCAGGGTGTAATGGGCAAAAAACATGGTGCAGTTTGTACACTATATTTCATTTTACTGTGTTCATATTTCATGAAAGGATTAGTCCATTGTTTTTCTGAGCCCTCCCTTAAATTTAGAGGGAGAGTGAGATCCYGAGATCAGCTTTCCAGATACTAGGAGAAGTCAGAGTGATCACCAAGATTCTGTCGTATCTGAAAGTAACGGAGAAAAAAGACAAAAGATTATTTGTGAAATTTAACAYGTGATGATCAGTATCTATTTGTAGTAAATATGTCCCTTGGAGTAATACCAAGAAGGGATGACAAGGCTTTCRTTAAGTGCCTATTTCAACTAATTGACCATGTATGTAAGTGTAGTCCAATTAACCTAGTCGTTGCCCAGGAATACTGAGGACAGGAGCAGCTTCTGCTACATAACAGCTTAATTCCTGTTTATTTGTCTGTTTTACAGGTACCAGTTGACAGTCCTGTAGAACATGAACCTTGTACTGCATTAAAAGATCAGTCTTCTTTGTGAGACTGAAAGAAGGTGACTTAAAAACGCACAATTTTGGTCGAACACTGGACAATACTAATAAGTGTAATCACTGGATTTGTATGTATATAAGTATTAAAAAGTATTTGGTAGATACTGGTGATATTTGTGCAGTGGAAACTGTGAAGATGTCTGGTTCATTTTGCCCCAGATGAACAATTTACCTTTATATGGAATGTTCATCCAAGCMGTTTCCAAGTTCACTAGTAAAGTAGCTTCACTAGCACAGTACTGTGTGAATGCTCACCTCTCCTGGGAAAAACATACATTCAGGATGCACATGGAAAAATCTAGAAACCTGGAGTACAATCCTATCAGAAACACCTATTTTTTATTTCTTTTCCAAGAAATCAAGAATTAGTTAATTATTCAGGTTTTTCTTAGTGCATTTGAAAGTCAGAGAGTAGGTAGCTGCACAACTGGAGGGTATTAATACTTCCGTGGTGGTTTTTTTTTAACTATATTTGGTGTATACTATCTGTTCATTATGAGAAACTTTGTCTATAGCACAATACTGAAAATAAGAGATGACTGCAATCGTGAATATTTGATACTGGCATCTGATATTTCTTTTGCCTTGAAACTTCTTGATAGATACGAGAAGGCATTTAAAAGAGGACACTTCCTTACAGGTTCATCATAACATTTTGGGGGAAATCTAAAAGAGTTTCCTGCTAGACAAACTGAAGAAGAGCTTCTTATAAAAAGAAGGAGTCAGGCCTTTGATAGCTCTGCTATGAAGTGTTCATAGGCAAGGGAAAGCTACCMTTCAGACTGCCTCTACGGAGTATTTTGAGCTTTCTCAGTTTAAGTGAGAGGAGTACATGTTTACAAAGAGATGGTGCCTTTACTCTGTAAAGATCCTTGCCTCATCTTAGTTTAATTAGTGCTGCTGAAGAAACTCCACAAAGTATTGGTGGAGTATCAGAAAATGTGCTCGATCACTCTTRCATTCATTTTCCTCTGCATTATGAATTGTATTATCTGTGTCTTGGGAAATTTTTGTGATCATCGGGAAATTTTTGTGCTCATCATGTAACTTAGAGGCGAACCATGGCTKGTCTTTCACAGTTGGTCTAAACTGTAAATATGACTGAAAGAAACACTGTAATGCTTTACTTCACCTGATGAAATAACTCCTTGTTATACCATGCCCCTTGGCCTCAAGCACCGTGGATCTCCTTGATGTTCGCCTTGTGTTGTGACATATGTCTGAAATGAGCGTGTGGGTTTCTCCCAGCAGTGCTTTGAAAATGCTCTGCTCTATCTGCACAGACACAGGATTGGTGGCAATACAGGSGTGCTGAGGCCCCCTTATTCTGAGATGTCACACGTGAGTTTGCTGGCTTCCCGTGGATGTTTCTCCACGGAATAGAGGCGACAGTCCCGACAAAACTGGTGGTGTTGCCCTTTGGTAACCACGCGTGGCTTTTGCCTCTGGAGCAATGGGAATAATGCAGTACCAATTTACATCCTCCTTCCTTAATCACAGCTCCAGTAAATCAGCTGCTGTGTTCCTGGCCCTGTGCATTTCCACTCTTACATGCCGTTAGCAAGAGCTTAGCTCTGCAGTTTTAGAAAAGTGTTTCCTGCATCTCCCATGGAAAGTGTATTCATTATGCATGCTGCATCTCTAAATGTTCAACTTCTATGACCCCATTCGATGGTTTTTTTCTAGGATCTATGATTTTTTTCCCTCCTGCTTAACCTTTCATTTTTTGGTGTTGAGTTCCTTTCCCTGATACTAGTTTCCACTTTCTTTGGAGTTTGTAAGAAGTTGACTCYTTCCTTCTGCTGTACAGAGCCCTTTTCAATAACGAACTATCCCTGCTGGCTCCTTGCGTTTAATGTTTTGCCAAATGACTTGAAAAAGATGTAAACAAGGTTTTGGCATTCTGGAAAGAGCCTGCTGGGCCCCTGAAAAGAAAATATTCTTAAGAATGAAGCCTTAATTACATCCTGGATTTAATACCTCCCAAAAGGAGCTTGAAAGCTTGAAACCTGTGAGCATATGTTTATCTAGAAGCTGTTTCCGAGCAAGGATAAAGTATATAAATACAACGCCCAGTAACAAAATAAAGACCAAACCAGATATTTTACGCAACAGTTTTCTCGTCCATGTCTCAAAAAATGATGTTCCAACTAGTGGCCAAAAAAGGTCTGGTGTTGTTGGATTGTTGGAGCTTTCTACGCTTCTGCTTTTAATATTTGTTTTAATGTTAAAAAAATTCCAGCCAATCAAAATATGTCTGGAATTGGAAATGAGGTTTCTAGCTCTGAGTCTTTTGATTCTGGTGATTCTGGCTCAGCCCTCAAGTGAGAGGAGTGGTAGGGGAAGGGCAGCGGAAAAGAAGACTCCTGAAGGAGAGGCAAACACTTGTCATTGGAATGAAATGTCATCTGTGAGAGCACACATTTGGAAACCAAGTCATGAGGGACCTTTCAGTCCATTGCATCAGCTTTTGCTGGTCAGGGTGTTCTGATGCTTCAAGAGAGCTCTTGAGGATGCAAGAAAATCTGTGTAATCTTTAGTGTAAGACATGCTCTAGGTGTCCCTGCTTCAGCAGGAAGGTTGGACTAGATGATCTCTAGAGGTCCCTTTCAACCTTGAACCTTCTGTGATTCTGTAAGTGTTAGGGCTGTTCCCAAGTTAGCGGGGCCCAGCAGGTGCAGAATTGCTAACTTCAGCCTAAAAGGAAAGGGCAACTTCTACACCCAACCCCACCTGTGTGGAGCTTTTGATAGTTTCAAGAGGAGGGACCTGGAAAATATTGACTCATTTTTATCTGCGTAACTGCTAACATAGTCTCGACATCCTTGGTTTTGGTGTCTGGGTTTGAAAAACTCAGCTTAATCGCAGAGTCTGGAACTTCTTTAAATGGAAATGTTCTTCAGTTTGAAAGATGAATTCTACATAGCGTTTATTTTATAGATTGGTGCTTGCCATTATAGTGTCTCCTCTGCTGCTATAAGTGGTGACTTTTCCAGAGAAGGGAAGAACTGCGAAGAGCAAATAGCAAAGAAATCCAGGCTGCTAGAGCTTCCCTCGCCGCATGCATCCTCTTGGCCATGCCTCGTGCTCAGGACACTYGGCTCCCCGTGGCTGGGGTGCGTAACCCGGGCTGCCGGCCAGTGCTGCCCGGTGGAAATCTGCTCCTGAAAAAGCTTTGGACTAACCTGTATGTTTACAGCCAAGTGAATCTGGTTAAGCTCTTTCAGTATTTATTACTTCGATTTTCCATGCTGTGAACTTGCAGGATTCCTTGCATGAGTGGGAGCTCGTGACCTTTCCCATTGCTGTCTTCTTCAGTGCCTGTATGTACCACTGGCTGCAGTGTTGTGGGCTACGAAGGATTGATTCACAGACCTCAAGCTAAAGGGTAACCTGGGGGGATCCCCCTGTGATTTGCACCACCACCATGTGATCTGCTAAGAAGAGTGAGGTTAATGTGTGAAAGAGAGTGAACAGAGCCAAAATATTTGAGAAGTGTGTTTATTTTTCAGACCCATGTTATTTACTGCTCATGCRTTCTTTCTCTTCATGAAGATAGCGGAGATCTTTGCTGTAACTTATTTTTGTTAATGCCCCATTCTTTACGTTTCAAGAGAAAATTTCAAGTTGCTATAAATATTCTCTCCGTGCAACGTTGTACTTTTGTGTTTGTGTGGGGGGAATCACCCCTTATCATTACATGTAACTAGTGTTGTGTTGAAAACGTCACTTGACTGAAGCCATAATTACCRTTTCTGATAGCTGCTGATACACCTGACAGTCTGAAAATGATGTTTTTTAATTTGTTTTTTCCAAACCTGTCATTTACTCTAGGGGAATTTTATATGTGGATTATATACCRTGGCATAATAAACATGCATGCATACATGTGTGTACTGCATTAAAATGTGGTAAATGTATTTTGCACTAGCATACTGCCAGTGTGTGCTATTCGAGTATTAGCTTTGGTGGTTGAGCTTTTCCACCCTCACCTTGTGCTTTTCTTTCTTTGCTTTGGAAAGGTCTAGGAAGAAGAGAARGTGATCCCTGAAGCAGAGCAGTCCAGAGAAAGCCAGTCCTTTAAGGGTAGTGCAAATATTGTTTTACTAAAGCACCCAGCTCATGGAGATTAGCCGCAAAGAGGAGATGGAGCAACTTCTCAGGTAGAATGCAAGGGAGGCATTGCAAAACTTTCAGTTGGAGCCCAGATTTGTTTGTAAAACTGGAGCAGCCTCCAGTGGGAGCACAGTAGGACGTGGGTATTTTCCCTTGATCCCGGGGTGTGAGCTGGGAGCAGGATCAGGAAACCCRCCTCAAAGAAAGGAGTTTGCCTTCCCTCTGCACAGAGTGGCGGTTGGCTCAGAGCTGTCCCCATGTCAGAGGCTCTCCATGCTGCAGGTGTTGCAGAGCACGGGAACCAGCAGCCCCCCATTCCCGGTGGGAGAGCGGCACTAGCGTCCGGCCAGAGCTGGCAGGGCACAGGGTTGGAGTCCCACATGGGCTCTGTTTACCGCCACAGCTCCAGGGGGTGTTTCTGTCCCCTTTGGGTGGTGTAATTTAAGCCCTCCCACAGCTGGAAAGGAGCAACCACAGCAAATTACTGCTGCATTGAAGTCATTCCTTGGCAGACAATCTGGTTCTCTTGAAGGAAAACGTAAGAAATCTCATGAGGTAGGTGGAAGATATGAAGCTGTGCTGGCTATGATGCATTAAAGCTGTTCTGGAGGGAGAATTCCTTTTTTTCCACAGAAAAAAGCCCTATGTAACTGAAACCATCAATGTTATTCCTTCTGGAAAATGTTTCCATTTGCTCGTAGATTAAATACATGGGTGTTTTGTAGTCCAGGTGCTTTCCTGCTGAAAAAGTTTCTCAGAAACCCCTTGGATTCCCTGTGCTTAAGCACAGTGAGCCAACCTTACCTGCCCATGCTCAAAATGGGTATTTAAACCTTCAGTTAAATGTCTTTCAGGAGACAAAACAGCAACACCCTGGCTTCGAGTGTCCTTCAGTAGCCACGTGGCAATACAGGAAAGCCAAGTGCAGGCAGCGTGCAGGCACAGCTGCTACCTGGGGAGGCTCTTCAGTGCTCATTCAATAACAGCTGTAGCCAAAATCTGACTTCTAAGGCAGTGATGCCCAGGTGCTCCATGCTGCCTGGAGGTGACCTGCCCGACTTCTGGAAATGCAGCGCACCGGGATGGCCTGGATCCTTGTACGGGAGCTGGAGGCACGCGAGGGAGCTGCTCACACAGAGGGCAGGCAGCAGCAGTTTGGTGTCTGGTCCAGGCTATGCAGAGTACGTTGACAATGTGCTCTGCTTGGGGCAATTGTTTGGTGAAATCTGAATTTTTTTTTTTTTTTTTTGGTTAAACTAGATTTACTTATTATGATGCTTCGGCTATTAAAAAATACTATAAATAGCTATAGAATATCTAAGGGGCATTGTTCAAACTGCAGGCATGTGGTGTAAGCTGTAGAAGTGCTGGAAACCATCTGCAAAAGCTATAGGGTCTTGGTGGATTGAAGAATATCAATCATGAAATCAGTTAAAAAATATCTGCCTAAAGATACCTCRTATGAGCGCAGAACTGCTGTTGTGGGTGGACTGGTCAGAGCTTATCAGCTTCATGGAAGAGGCAGTGAATGTGCATCCTAGCGAGTCATTTTAAAGTGGAAAAGTATAATTAGAAGCCCTCTCTTTGCATGCAAAGTGACTTTGATGTCTGTTTTATTACCTAAGTAGTAATTTCTTAACTGTTTTCACTCTCTCAGTATTCTAGCTGCAAGTGTTACATAAAAAAGTCTCAGATGAGACTCAGTTAAGTAAAATGTTATTGGTATAATTGGACTTAGCAGCTGGAAGGAAATGCCTTTCTAAGGAAGTAGATCAAACATTGAAAGAATGGGATCTTGGGCTGATAGTTTTAAATCTATGCGTTCCTTAAAAGACTTTTGCCGTAGAAGATGGTTCTGAAAATTGTTTCTTCTAGTGGCTTCCAGGAGCAAAATTGAATGTCAGCCTCATGTTCTGCTCCCAGGAGCAACGTGAGGGGTCACTAAGGCCTGGTCCTTCATGAGCACCATAATCGAGGGTCTGAGCGCAGGCTGAGGAGGGCAGTATCTGCCACGAGCTCTAACCCCGCTCTTAAAGCATTGTGAAAGTTGCTGAGAAATGTCCTATGGAAATATTCAAGACTTTGGAAGTCTGCAACCTTCCAGAACCAGAAACTTCTCTTTTTTTTTTTTTTCCCCCCCTTGTATTTTTTCCCCTGAATGGGGGGGACTAGGGGCCACAGACAGATGCATGCAGAGTTACTTAATACATCACAAATTAAATTGTGCAACTAATGCCTAGGGAAAAAGACATCTAAACTATAACAGCAGCCTGTCTAAGCCTGCGTGTATTGACTTTCTCCATTAATTCCTTGGAATGTAACCTGATTTCCTCTGAATCATTCAGCACCTGCCTCTGAAGGAGCCCGCAGGCCACATCCTGTGCTCAGCGTGGGCTGCTGGGGCGAGGGTGAAGCAGCCACCTTTGGCTGATTCACTGGCTCCGCAGAACTTAAGTGGGGATATCCCACGCTCCTGGAGAGCAACAGGAATTCCCTCAGGGCTGCTGGATGTGACTCGTTGCACAGTTACTAGTTACAGTAAGTCCCTCTCAGTTTGTGAGTATGGTTTTGACTGCCTTGGGAGCTTCCTTGGAGAGCTTCAAGCTATTAAACTGCAGTAGGCTTTGTGTTMAGAGCACAGCTGTTGAACTTCACCCCCAGCTGGGGCCACCTCTGCAGCGTTTCGACTGCTCTCTCCTCACTGGAGAAGGGGAATCCTGACATGCAGCTCAGTGACCTTCAGGGAGGCCTGAAGTGGTGCTTTAGGTGCAGGTTGGCTTGAGGGATCAGTGCTGTGATAGCTTGTTCTGCGCGGCGTTGAGGGTGGCGAGGCCTGGATGCCTCTGCAGAGTGTCCGAAGTGCCGAAGTGTGGGGTGTTGCGGCTTCCAGACTTCCTGCCATTGCTCAACATCAGTGCTTTGTGCTTTCAAGTGCAGCCTTGAGGGGCAACGCATCCGAAGAGCTCTGTCAACAAGGCCGACACTTGCTCCGAGTGTTTCCTAACTGCTGTTCCTAGAGGGCCTTGGGCCGCCCGCAGCCGAAGGAGCCGCGTCAGCTCCTAGGCAGCCCCGGCGCAGAAGGCTCGTGCTTCCCTGCCGATAGGGAAAGCTGGGATGACAAACACAGCTCCGGAAGGGCCGCAGTGCTGCTGTCGGGAGGGATCAGGCCAAGGAGGCCGCGTGCGGAGCTCAGCTGACAGTGGTCATTTAGGTAGGAAATAAACGGTGAGAGAGAGTTTCCAGAAGGTTACCTAGGGGGAGGCTCTGAGGAAGCTCACCCTTAAGTGTTCCTTTTACAGCTTTCCTTTTTTAGAAACTACTCCGTGTCTTTATTTCCCAGGCTTTTATGATGGCGCTGATTACACATGAGGTTATCGTTCCTACTTGTTAGACCTGCACCATCCATTAACATATTGCCATGGTTACATCCTTATCACAGCTTAACCTTTCCTTTGATTACTGACCAAATCCAGTTCCAGCATTACTTCCAATCCAGGAAAAAGCCCCACGTTTTCTTTTTTATTATTATTTCTTTTTTAGGGGCCAAGCAAGGTCACCGTGGCCTTTCCAGGCAGCAGGCTAATGGTTGCATACGAGAAATGCATCATTCTAGACCTGGGTTTCCCTCTTCCCTTTTGCAAAGCTGAGGCACCTTATTAGGATTAGGCATTTTGAGGCTGTTGCAGCTTTCCTGGACGAACTGAGATTTCTAAATGCTCCTCGGCAGCGGGTGTCTGCGGGCGGTTGGAGCCCTCTTCTGCTCATCCCTGCTCCCTGCACCTCGGCGGCAAGATGGGAACCGCCAGTCGCCAGGAAGCGGTTACCCCCGAATCCCAAGTGGATGAATGAATGAACTGTCTCATGCACGTGAAATATTGCAGGGCAGAGAGGGTTTGCTACGCAGCAGGGCTGAATTTCTACCTGTGCACACTGAGCGATGGGTTGGGAAAGGCAGCTCTGCAGAGGTGCTGGGATGGCACCTTTGGAAGAGAAATTCTCTTGGAAAAAACTGCTGGTGCTCATATCGCCTCCCCACCACGGCACAATTAGGAGGCATTACTTTTCCCTCCACTGGTTCCCCTGTRATTCTGCTGCACAGCCTTTTGAACACCACATTTAAATTAGCCTGCAATTGAAAATAATGAAGGTTAAAACCCTCTTACATGATTTTTATGATGAAATTAGTTCCTTTGACCCAGAAAACAGCTGTGGCAGCAACAAGCTCTGCATAGGAATAAGCCCACATTAACAGCACTATTCCAAGCTAGCTTTATAAAGGTGTCTCCGTGCAAAAGTGAGTGGATTTCCAGATAAATCGTGCTGTGCGTGCTGGGCTGTCGCAGCCCGCCACRCGCCTGCCCTTGTCCAAGGGAAGCGCTTGACCTAAGGCCAAGGGAGTCCCGATCTCACCATACCCCTTATCTACCCATCCTTCTCATACTGTGAATGTAGAAGGCTCCGGGATGCAAAGCGTGCAGCGTAACTCTGCTCACGRCGCTTCCAGAGCGGTTGAGAGGCACGGGGGCGAGGGACCCCTCCCGGCCTGCACCCCAACACATTGGCCCTAACGTTGTGGTGTTGGTGAAAGGGTGAAGGCTTCGCAGCAGTGCTAATCCCTCGCCGACCCGTCGTTCTCTCCCCTGCGTCACATACCAAGCACAAACCGAGGCCCTGCATCCAACGTGGACACCTCYCCAGAACAAAATCTTCCAGGCTGGAGCTGAGCACCGAGGCGGCTGTGCAAGCGGGAGCAGCTGGTTTACGTTAGGTGTCCAAAGAGCCCCTCTCTGGCCCCTTGCAGTGTTGAATGCAGCGAGGTTCAGGTGTCCCTCGCCGCGGGGAGGCCATGCCAAGGTGGCCGGTAGGGCCCACCACGGCACCGTGCGTGGTGAGCAGCAGCTCAACGGGCACTCACAACTCCCAGATCCCCGTGAAGCTGACGAGGGTGCTGGAGATGTATTTACGGTGCAAGTTACAGATGGGTGGCTGTAGATCCCGCGCAGCAGCAGGGCAGGGAGCAGGGGATGGCAGGGCACGCACAGGGTGTCAGTGCACAGCCTGGGGCAGCAGCAGCACCCGCTGCTCCCCGCGCAGCAGGGAACACCCTGCTGGGAAAGACCACGGAGCAGAGCGGGAGACCTGAGCTGTCTGTGCCAACCAGGCAGGCAGAGGGAGGCTGAGGTCCGAGGGGAGGTCCCAGCCTCCCATCCCTATGACAGGACGTCCCCAAGCCCCAGGTCACCACCAGAAGGGGCCGCCAACTTGCTGAGCTGCCCTTGCTTGCGGGTGTGCAGCTTGTGACCATCACTGCAGAGTCTGGAAGCACCCGCGGAGCCCGCGAGCTCAGCGTGGCCGCTGTCTTTGCAAGCAGCGATGGTCTCGCTCGACCCTCGTGGGTTCCGTTCAGCTGCTCTAGAGCCTACAGAGAAACGCAGACCTGAAAGTGTGAGACTTGGACCCGCCTGGGGGGTTCTCGAGGTCGCCCTTGGTCAGAGCTTCATTCCGAGGCCCGCAGCGGTGCCCGTGGGACGGGAACGCGCATCGGGACCCGCGTGCTGGGARCGSGGACGGGGCGGGACGGGAGGGGGCGGCGCTGCCGCCCGCCCGCCAGGGGGCGCCGCGGCGGCGGGAGGGGCGCGGGCGGGGCGCCGTGCTGGCCCCGCCCCTCTTTGTTGCGGCGGCCAATGAGGCGCGTCGCGGCCGCATGGAGCGCTGTGGTTGGCGGCGGCGCGCGTAGGGCGGCGGCGCGGCCAGGTGCGGGGTGGGCGGCGCCGAGGCGAGCTGAGACCCGACGGGACGGGCGGAGCAGAACGGAACAGAACAGAGAGGAGCGGGCGCCGCTCGGCGGCCGCGGCGGGGCCGTTCCCCGAGCGCGGCGGGGCCGATGCTGAGCGGTGCCGGTAACGGGCGGCCGTGCGGGTGAGGCCGCTGTCCGCGCCGCCCCGTGCGC